TAGAGCAGATATCAATCTGAGCTGCAAGCAATGTCCTGCTAGACTTCGACAATCAAACGCATACTTAGATCGTCAAGCCCGTGTCACAGTAAAACGCTAATAAAGATTTTCACAATCCTGTCTCATAAAAACGAACACTTCAACATTTTATCATATCAGTCACCTCACTATAAAATATAAACAAAGTTGACTATGTCCATATTTGGTGAAGGAATTGACAGCTTCCGGTAACGATTCACAACCATAACATTGGATATAACATGACTAACCTTCCTTAATTTTCTTTTTCGATCTGCCCAAAGTTGCCATTTTGTCAAAAAGGGAGTCATCCTTGTCTTCTTTCTTCGTCCCTGGCCACGGGAATGGTGCAGTTGGCTCGACAGTGAAGCCAGCTTGCTGGGGCGGTTTGACAGGGGAAGCCATTTTGGAAATTCTTTTTACTCTTCGCGTCTCGTCTAGTTCCCTGCTCAATTTCAACGCTGAGGGCGTTTGTTCTTGCCGGCCCCAAGCGTTGAAATTTGAGCAGAAAACCACTCGTTTAACAAACAATTATTAATAAACTGATGATGAAACAAACATTAATGATTACTTTATACTATTCAAAATTCTAAATATTACAAAAATATGAACGATTAAAAGAAGTTTGACATGTCAAGACATTTATTCACACAGAACATAATTTGGCGAACATTCGTAACTAATTTCTATAAGCTTAGGTGGTTGGGAATCCCCAAGCATCTCTAAGTTTGTTACGATTTGAGTTTGGACCAGCGTTTCAGTCAACGTAATCTCGACTTTAATTCATCATTGTCTTAATAATTGAACAGAAATTAGAAAAAAAAAACGTGAACAACACAAATTCGCACGGGAAGTTCTAGAAAAGTCCCTACGAACATTTCAATATGGTAGGGACTTTCCTATTGGTACTCTATCAAATGATCTAAGGGCTAACCAATTTGATATCTGACAAAAACTCAAGGAATTTGCACAATAGTAAGAAATAAAAAAAAAA